AAGGTGTCAAAGCAGTTTGGAGAGAAAAACAAAGAACAACAAAAAAAGAAAACGATTAATCGATTATTAAATTAGTCATCGATTATTTCAATAATCGATTAGTCGTCGATTAATCGATTAATCGTGGCAGCCCTAATTGTATCAAAGATAAATAATTCTAAACTAGTTTTTAAATAAAAAAATATTTTTGTTTTTCTGGCCACATAAAACAGAGTTCAGCCCTGTTGCTTGAGTTTAATACCATGTTATACACAAAACAAAACAAAAAAACTGTACAGATTTTCTCTCAAAAGTGTCACAGTCGTTGCAGGTTTATCTAATTTGTTTCAAACTCATCTGCATTTTGCTACAGAACATCTCAAACTTGTCTAAAGAGCGCTAGAGCTATGACACCTGTACAGGTGCTCTCTCCCCGACAGAAAACATCTGATGCAGTAGCTCAGGTCTTAAAACCACTCAAGACTTATTGAAAAAGTGGTTCAAGCCTTCCTATCGCAGAAAAAAAAATCATAAACATGAAGATGACTGGTCCCCCATTAGTCACAGCTCAGGAAAACAGGTCCTTAAAACATAAAAGCATAGTTTTATACCAAATCAAATATTCTGCCATGTGCCAAACTTATTGCTATGATAGCGACTGTCTACAAATTAGGGCTGTGTATTGGCAAGAATTTGGCGATACGATACATATCATGACAAAGGGGTCACGATATGATATATCCCGATATATTGCGATACTGTAAGCAAGGCGATATATTGCGATTTTTTTGATCCAAAAACTCTGTTAAATAAAAACCTCCTACTGGGGGAAAAAAAAGAAAAACCAAAATTCATTGTCTCAGAAAATTCTAATATTACATAGACATACTTTTTATACCTTTAGCTGTGTTCTACTTTGTATGTATTTTATTTTATTTGTTTCATATTTCTTATTTCATCCATGTTTTCAATTATTAGACTAAATTTGCCAATAAATAGGTTGAAAATACATATTTTTGCAGTTTTTAGTTTTTAATATTAATTTACAATATGGTCACCCAACACTTAAYAATAGCCTCTACCTCAAGAGGTAGAG